GAGATAAAATTTTCCTGCCAAAGCTGGTCGTAACCCGAAATGTTCGTTAGTAGAGGCGTTCGTATCCCGAGGTACCACTGTACTCACTGTCCAGCTGACAAAATTTTAGCAGTAATGGACAAATGAAACAGCATCAAACCTTCAATGTCAAATGAAGGATCCCTCCAAATTTGTACAAATGGAAAACCAAATTTGCTAGTGCACTCCAAAACAGGAAACGCAACATCACAAAGAACTGTCTAGGACAGTGCTTCTCCACCTTGGCAACTTTAAGATGTGTGGACTTCAACATGCTGGCTGGGGGAATTCTGGGAGTTGAAGTCCACACATCTTAAAGTTGCCAAGGTGGAGAAACACTGGTCTAGGACAGAGTAAGGATAAAAACCAGTGGACTCAACTGCAATACCTACCAAGCCAGGAAGGACATTCTTCGGTAATTTTATGTTCTTGCTGCGTTGTGGCCATTTCCCAAGGGAGACACTGGGAAATGGAGCTATTCCACACACATCGGAGTCCAGGACCCGCCTTTAAGCAAGAGACCTTACTGCTGTATGCTTCACAGCTTTCTGGGGTGTATTTTACGATGTCACTCAAGAGCAGGCTATTGAAGCCACCAAAGATATACATGGTGCTAACAAAAGAAATGGAAGAGATTAATCAGTGGCTGTCATGCTGGCAAGGAATTCTGGGAGGCAGCGAAGGCTGATTTTAAGGTGTATCGCGTAAGTCACTTGGACCAGACTCATCTACGCTCATCAGACTGGACCAACACGTCATTGCCTGCTTATTCAAAAGTGATCCCTACTTTCCATCAAAGTGAACTCCCAACTCAACTGAAAAGGTTGGCTTGTAAAGGAACCTGCTTCGGGCACTCACTGGTTCTAGTGGATCTGGACAATCTGCCTGACCAAGACTGCTTTCCAATCAACGCGTACCCAACAAGGCAGGAAAGCATCTGGCAAAGCCATGCACGCTGTGGAGTGGCTTTTGGCTTGAGGATCCAAATGAAGTAACATTTCCAGAGGGTTTGGCATTTGTACATGGTAATCCAGTTATATTTTATACTGCATAACCGTTTATGCTGCAATTCTTTACAAGAAAGGAGCAAGAGAGGGGACTGAGGAGAATCACTCTGGTGTGGCCATGCAATACACTGTTATAGGCCTTCTGCAGAAGAGAACTGCATCCATTTTTTAAAAGCATAATTTCAGTCCTCGTGGTTGCAGAGAAAACTGGAAACACAACTATGAGCCCAATGCAGTATCAATACAAATAGTCTTTCTCAACTTGGGTGTACGATATTGCAATTCAACTCTTATAATTCCAAAGGCCTTGCTGGAAATGATGGGAGTTGAATTCTAGCACATCTGGAAAGCAGCAGTTGAAAAAGCTGCTTTAGAAACAAGAGCACAAACTGTATTACGGGCTGTAATAGATAAGGTTTTGCTGCTCCCAACAACTGTGGCCATCTTTTTCCCAGGCAGCCCACCCCTTATCCAATGACTCTTATTTATTCCGATCACCTATTAGCCAAGGTATCCTTGTCCAGCTTAGACCAAACAATCTTAAAACATTAAAAACTCAGCCCCCGGATCTCCCACAGCTTAATAAAATAAGCACACCCATAGGTGAATAGCTCACATCATGCATTCTGAGGGCAGAATCTTAATTTTGAAAGGCAGAATTATTATTGGAGTGCAGAATGCATAGAATCTTTAATTACTGAGCATCACCGGCACAGGAAAGAGACCCAAGCTTTAAACAGCCTTTCTAATTGAATCTAAGTTGTGTTAAAACAGCTTCGGTGGGTATTTTAAGACAGAAAGTTATGGCAATGCAGATTAAGTGACGGCTGGCTGGAGTCAAGCGCAATGTGGTAGATACAAGGAAGAGTTCAAAAAGGGGCTAATAACAGCACACAAGAACAGCAAATGGCTTTTGCCCAGGAGAAGATTTAAGACGGGGCTTTCAGAGAGGCAGTAAAGCCATCTTGCTATGATAGGAGGTACATTAGCTAGCGAATGGGGTGGAAACACTGAGCTGGAATCTGTTGTTGAAAGCAAGGATGAATGCAGAACTCAATGAACTAAATCATCATGTTTCAAAACTTGTAAAAGTATGTTTTCACAATTAACCCATGCAGTTCATGGCCACGTGGAAATAAAGAACTCGGGGGGAGAGGAGGAATGGAGAAGAGAAGATTGGACTCTGTTCAAGTGGCGATGCGTGCTCTATTCAGAGGCAACAATCTGGTAGATGTAAAGAAAGCATCCGTACCGCAGGTAGACCATTATGGGAAACATGACGTAGGAAAGGATGGCCAAGAACATAGCTATTAAAACACCAGCACTATTGCTGTATGTGAAATGGCCACAGACTGGGCTTCTCTTTACCTCCATACTGAATAGCTTTTGGTACTTCACACTTCCCATCAGCCTCCCCTGAAATTTATTGATTTCAGTTCCCCTCCTCCCCCAGCCAGAATGGTCAAAACTGTCCTGTCAAACCAGGGATGAGATGGGTCCTTGGCTTCAGGAACACAACAGAATTGTCCAACATTTCACCCCTGTGACCTTCAGCAGAGTTTCAAATGCTGTACAGAAAGTCTCTTACTCAAAAGGCAGCCATATGACCTTGCTGCTTGCTTGTGGTGTGGGGGTGTGGGTGCAACATGGGGGTGCTACTACCTCAGTTCAGACCAGTTTCTCATGACATTTATGTTCAAGCAGCAATTCTGGCACTAGCCCCCATCGCAAATAGCAAAGGGAGTCTGTAGTAAAGGGACAGTGGAATACCACAAAGAAAGGGGGCCATGAGATACTTCAGGGGCCCCAGGAGACCCCCGGGCCAACCCATGGAGCAAAATGCAGCAAATTCTTTACAGAAACCGCTCTTTCAGGAAGACTGTGAACTTACTTCCCAATGACTGCAACTGCTGAAGTAGCACCATGTCCCGGGAAAGTAACTTAAAAGTGTAAGCACTTTTAAGGACTTTTAGCTGAGCTATGGTCTTCCTAAAGTGGTTGGTTCTTCAGGGACAACGGAACCACCCTCAGCTCCCCTTCTCCCTCACTACCCCTTTCTACCCAAACACAAGATACACCGCCTCTTACTTGTTGCTCAGCACAGCCGAGTGTCCAAACCGGTTGACGTCGTGGGGGAGGTCAGGTGGAGGAAGCACGGACCAACGATCACACGCTAGGATGAAAGAAGCCTTATTTCAAAGACATTCCTTTGAAGTGGCATTTGGGGCGGAGCAAAATTTTGCATTATTCCAATAGCAGTTTAAATGACAACTCAGAAATCATGCTAGTTATTCTAAAGGGCACAGAACTGTGGAAGTATTTGCACAGCAAGTATAAACAGTGCATATTCAGAAGCTATTTCCTAATGCTATCAGCCATATATAACTCTAATTATTTTGACCACCTTATTCAAAAACAAATACAGAATTCCTCGGCCACATGCCAACGCTTTTCTGAATGATACAGTAATTTTTCAGAAGCAGTGCTATTGTTCCATCTCCAAAAGTTACTGCTTTATCCAATTTCTTAAATTACTTGCCACTTATTGACAACCAAACAATGCCAACAGATTATTGGACTAATACATTCAGCTCCATTTAGAAGAACAAAACGCCCAGAATCATTGAGAGTTGGGCGGCCTACAAGTTTGATAAATTATTATTGATTATAAATATGGTCATCCCAGTTTAAAACAACATTTTCCTGCTCCTTCCAGGTGTGTGGATCAATCCCCTTAATCCCCAGGCGCTAGGAGGACTGTGAAAGAGAAGTGATGAAATTCAAACATTTGGAAAGGGCTGCTTTATGGGAACACAGAGCGTTGGCAGCCAGTTCCATGAAATAGAAGTTTTAATTTAAACGAACAAAAACCCAGTGAGAAGTATCAAATCAGGAAACCCACCCAAGTAGAAGCTATTTCCGCCAAAATAGCTTAAAATGCCAAAACCCTGTCTGCTCAAAAAAGCCTTTACTTTCTGGGTGGAAGAACTGGCAAAAAAAAAACCCTCCAGGGTCTGGGAGCAGCAGCTGAGAAGGATCCTCTCTCATCTTTCACCAAACCCTCTCCCAGTAACCAAATTTAAAATCCAGGGGTGTTCTTGCAAAATATTATTTTTCATTCTATCTAATTCAGAATCATTTCTTGTTCCTCCCACTCCACCCCAAGTTATCATAACATTTCTAGACAGTTTTCTTGAACTCCCAGGACACAGGTAACTAACATGGACTTGAACTGCCATGCTCAAAAGCGACAGAATAATGAAGGAGATCCAGAACACTTAAAGTTGAGCAAAGGCCAACTCATGCCAAACGCTGATCTGAAACAGGATTAGGTGTCTTCAGTTTTTAGGATTAAAACTGTCCCTGACAACACCACCTAAATACCTAGCTAGGACATAAATTAAGAAGCTTCTGTTGTCTTAAGATACACTTATCCAGCTCACCTTTCAGGTAACAGATGAAACAGGGGATTCCCTTGACATATAACAACCCATGACCCAGCTTATTTCCAAGCATTTCCTAAAGCTACTCTCACTCAGATTGACTTGCATACGAGAATCTCCCAAATCTGGCCAAATCTGTCTAACGGGACAGGGGATCCAAATTCCGAACACCTATTTTGAGACAGTAAAGTCTTCGTCAGTTTGAATTTAACTCCTATGGACATATCCTAGGCAATACAAAGAAATACACTGTAATTTGCTTCTTGCCACGTAAGCCCCTTAAACAGCTGGCAGAGATTTGGCTGGGTTCTACATTTAATGTTAACTGTTTCATTTGGTGAAGGGGTACATACATTTTTCCAGTGTTTAAAAGCATATCTAAAGGAAAGGGAACCACAGCTTTCCGTGCAAATCTTTCATCCAGCAGGCTGAGTGCTCTGAAGCCAACAAACATATTTTTCTAATTTAGGAGGAGCGTTTGGAATCAATGCCCCTTTCTCCTTCCTTTGCAAGGAATCAAATGGAAGAGAGAAAAGCTCAGGGCTCTGAAATTACCAAGAATTATTTCCTTCCTGACCTTTGGGCTCAGCCAAGTTAAGATTTATAGTTCAGGGATCCACAGGAATTTATAACTGTCTGCACACGGTGAACGGAGTTTGCTTTCTGAGTATGTGCTGCCTTTCTCAAGGAAATGGTTCCCAGTATTTCGGTGCATGTTAACATTAGAAGGTAATACAGTCATCAAACGCATTATTGTTGAAGACCTTTGACAATTTTGAAGACGTCCTCAAACATTGAAACATGCGTGCATGGCTTGGAAGATGAGACACAGAACTCTCCCACAGAAAAGGATTAATAAATCTTTAGTGCTGGCTTACGACAATTGGGCAAAATAATCACTCAAGCTGTCCAGAAATTACAGGGAGGTTTTCATTTAAACCAAACAAACTAGGATAGCATTAAAAGAGGACCTGAATTTAACTCTCCCAGGTATAAACTGATCTGTTCCTTGTCGTGAATTGAGCACTGACATAAAGGATTTGTTGAACGCTGCCCTCTTCTGGCTACCCAATGTTTAGCATGGGCCAGACTGACTCCTTTCACTGCAGCGACTCAGAACAGCCTGTGCGTTCCTGGGCCTAAATACACCGCAGGACAGCAGGGGCAAAACTCATTCCCCTCATATTCTTGTATGCCGCCTGGAGTCACCATGAGTGAGTTGGGCGGCCATATACATTGTTTAAATAAATAAAATAAATACACTTACACTATTTGTGAAGCTCTATTTTCATATCCTATTGATTTAGCCTTTTTATGGATTGAAGAAGTCTCCTACTCTCAACGGACAGGTACCTGAGCGGTCTTGCAAGAAAACCTTCATGGGTTTCCCCAAAATGGAATAAAATCAGTAGTGCTGGGTTGCTTTGAGCATGTTCTGTTAGGATCCCCCGTCCCACCTCCAGCTTTTCTCAAAGCAATTCTGGAGCAAGTGGTTATGGTCCTAAAGCCTGGACAAGCCTGAGCTATACAGGCAGTCCTTGTTTAAGGACTGGCAACTTGGTTGTTAAGTGAAGCAGTCACTAAGTGAAACCGTGACTGTGCTTACAATCTTACTTCAGCTTTCCTTTGCTTTACAGACCTGTGAAGGTCATAAATGTGAGGATTGGTCACAAAGTTACTCTTTCATCATCGTCGTAACTGTGAACAGTCACTAAATGAGGCAGTCACTAAATAAGGACTACCTATAAGGGGTAGCTGATCACAGAAGAGCCATCAACTAATTTGGTGGTAACAAGGAGTGATGCAACCATCAATTGGCTGCCATTAGTTTGGGCAGATCTTTGTTTGAGAGCACCTGGATCTTCTATGGAGAAAAGAGACAGAGCTGTCCCACCCAACAGGGCATCAACATGGAAAACTGCTGGGGGGATTCCCAAGAGGGCTGCTTGTAAGGATACAAAAAAATAAGAGGATATAAATAAATAAGTTTATGGCTGTTAAAAGTTCAACAGACAAGCAATGCCTTTCTCTACTTCCCTGAAGAGGAGAAGCAAAAGACAAAGCTTTAACCTTAATTGCAAAACTTAACCTAAAAATAATCCTATGATTATCCAGATCCCAATCAGCTGAAATGGAGCATACCTAGATCGTACGCCATGAAGTCTGAAGAGAAGCATTTTGCCCCCTGACTCATTGAGGTATCATTATGGGTGTTTCCTCCAAAAACCAGCATGGTCCCACTGATAATCACAGCCGAATGCAAATACCGGGAAAACCTGCTCTCTTTCAGAATTGTCCTAGAGAAATAAAAGAAACAGGATTTCAAAAACCATCCCTGGCTCTTCTAGGCATCCCCGTAACTAAAAAACCAAACAGTGTTTTTTGGTGAGATGCATCGAAGGATCCGAAAGGGAAAAAAAATGAAATTGAATCAGGGAATCACCAACCCCAACAAAGTGAGTTAAAAGTCCAGCGAGAGAGCCAAGAAATGCCTTTATTTGATATTATTCCCCCCCTAAATCTTTCTGCGATGTTCTTCTCCCAGCTGTTGCTCCAAAATTGCAAGTAATTCCCCCCCCCATAAGAAAACCGGTTGGGGGGAAGCAGTGGTCAGGTTCAGAGGGGACCCTGGGACAGATTCTGGCCTGCTCCTTGCTGGCTCTTTTCTCCTTTATACTCCCCTATTCTCTCATAACCATTTTATTGAGATTTGTCTCTAGTCAGACTCTAAATATGATTTAATCTTTGATACAAATGAGATAATCTTCTGTCTGATTAATCACATGCATATTTAAGTGGGATGCCACAATTTAAAATGCACAAGCATTGAATACTTCCAAGAAAATGCATATTCTACAATTTTACATATTCCGCTGGTTTAAACAAAGACTACCTGTTTTAAAAAATGCACTGATTGCTTCTCTCCCTTCAGCTTGAACCAAATATCTTAACTAAACCAATCACTCCCCAAACATTTGTTGGTTAATTATCCATGGCATTTCTTTGTTTCTATATCACATTAGGATCAGCCTATTTCCGAGCCGCATCACTTCTGCACATGTTCATTCATGAGTTGATCCCGTCTTGTTTCTGCATAAATCGGCAATATGTTCTTTTAAAAAGGCAAAAAAATGCATTTTTGATGCACGTTACTCAAAGTATCAAAGCAATTCTCATGGGCACATTCTTGCATGCATTTGGGTAGGGTTTTGAAACGTAGAGACTTGTAAAAACGGAAGGAGATCTGCATTCATTGAACTAAGCCATCCAGAGTTCTCACTCGAGGCACAAATCCTCCTTCAGACTGGAGAAAATTTATCTATGTGGTCACTAAGAGTTGACCCTGACTTGATGGCACATAATCAATCAATCAATCAATCAATCAATCAGTTATGTACTCTGTGTTAATGAAAAATTAATGAATAACCTGAGGCCCTTGGAATCCTCTCTGACTATCACACCAAAAAGCATAGCTTCTCCCCATTTGGGGGTTGAAAAGAAGAAAACTGTAGTATAAGCCCTAAAGTAGAACAATCACCATTTTTTAAAAAAGCAAACCCTAAAACTGCCTTTTAAAAACCAAGCCCCACCAAAATATTTGACATCACAACCTTCAATCTCCCCCTCAAAGTGCGGCCTTTAACAATGAAAACGTTGCTCATCCTTGCTGTGGTGCGTTCAAGGTGTGTCAAGTAAGAATCAACAGAGGATTCTGCTAGAGCAGGTTTTCTCAACCTTGGTGACTTGAAGATGTGTGGACTTCAACTCCCAGAATTCCCCAGCCAGC